TGAACTTTGCAAGAGTCCTCACAATGAGTTGACACGTCTCACCCTGCCCTCAATACTGAGGCCTGTCAACCAACAGGATCGATCAAACTCTCGTGTGTGCAAATACACTTTACTTTCCAAAACCATCACGCTCTTCGCGCCTTTTGAACTGAAGACTAAAAAACGGACAGAAAATGTCATAAAAGCTGAGTCCACTATCTCAAGGGCAGTTATGAATAATGAGGATGATTCCTAGTTAGAAAAGAGCTGAATGTCCTCTTATGCGTGTGTGACAATAGTACATACAGTACAGTACATACACATGCTCATGTGTTGATGAAGAAATCTAACTCTTATCTGTAAAGGGCTCACCCTGACTGTGCAGATTTCTGATGAGCCAGCAAAAATGGGATTTAATAATCCCTCATCATTCTCCCCCCCGTCCTTCTTGGAGACTTTAAACCTAAGATCTCCAGGTTGTTCATAAGAGTAGTGGTGTTAACACCATTGATCGAGCCAAGTTCCACTCCCGGACCACAGAAATGTGAGGAACGGTTATTATTACAATGATCATTACTGGTTCCAGAGAAAAGAGGTGTCACACCAGGTTCACTGCCAGTTTTTTCTCACTATTTACTCTGCTGGGTGTGATTTGTGTGTTTGAAGGAGGAGAATAAACAGAGTATAAACGTTCTAGCACCCAGTACAAACTGAACGGATTAAATTCACAGGGAAGGAATACATCCTTCCATTGCTGGTGGACGAAACCAAAATACTGAAGGTTATATTAGTTTCGGTTTTACTGTTAATGGTAATGCTTTATTTTTCAATACTGCTGAAAATTGGCATAGTTTACCCAATCCAAATTATTCCAAATGTTAATGATTTGTCTTAGCTTCTCCCTCCTCAGTGGTGACTAGTCAGACTGAACAGCTCTTTCTCTCTCCTCAGCTGGGCTCTTCAAGGCCTATTTCATGACCGATCAATTGATTCTTCGCCTTCAGGTAAAGAAGAACCAGGAGAGACTTGGAGCCTGCCTGCAAAATTTATTTTTCACCCCCCGGTACTTAGCAAACTCTGCTTTTGGGAGATTAACATGCATTGTTAACAGGTTGCAGCTTGTAAAGCGCATACATTCCCATGAGTCCCTGAAAGTTCACAGAGCAGAGAGAAGAATTTCATAAACTCCAAGAACATTTCACATACTGTACTTGTGGACAATATCTAGCAAAAAGACAGGTTTAGCCCCGGAGGAAACTGTGCTTGAAAAACACAGCAGAAAAGCACGCAGATGTCATGACCACGCATGTAAAGCACGTCACCACAGTGCCCTATCTAACCATGAGCTTAGATAGATGAAGTTCTTGATAATCCCCAGCAGGCTCTAGTTTGTTATTAGAATATGATTCTAAAAAGCCTATCCTGGTGCAGATGGCTCACAGCTCTCCGGTCCTGAGCCCGATTCTGCACATGGGGGGCTCTCTGTTCTCTCCATGTCCCAGCTGGGTTTTTGTTCAGGGTCTAAACGTGCGTTACCCAGGTGAACTGGAAACTCTGAACTGCCCTAACTGCCCCTTCGAGGGTGGGGGCCCTGCGACAGACTGCCCTCTGACTGGATGGTTATTAAAACTGCATGGACCTCCAATTCTTACAAATAAAACAAGCGCGAAGAAAACCAAAACGCTTCCCTAAATCTTGCTGTGGACCCGAAGACCTGCCAGCAGATCAAACGTTTTTTTTCCTGGCCCGCTGTCGACGCGGCCTGGCCCTGGCTGACTTTGACTGTTCTGTCACACGTGCTCAATCGGGGGCACCTGCCCTCTGCAGATCCCTGCAAGTCAGCAAGCAGCAGCGCTGAGGGTTACTTCTATGAGAACAGCATAACCGGGAAAATGAAAGACCGCGACCCAGCGTGCTGGTGTATGTAGACCTTCCTCACATCCTTCAGCGTGGTATTGATCGTCTTCACTCTTTCGACACTTTTCCAATGCTAAAAATGAAGAGAACATCTCTCACACTGCTCGGCTTTGGACCAGCCTACAACTCACTACTTTCTTACTGGAAAATCGAGAATGAGAAGAACTGAAGGACACAGCGTTAGGACAAAAAAAAACTAGTCAAGCAGTTGGAACCGCAAGGCAAAAGGCGGAAGTCGGTTTACATGATTCCCTGTCGTTGGGGAATCTTTTCACAAACGTTTCCACTAACAACCCAGACAGGCTAAACCACAGCTTCAGCCCCCTCGTCAATCACAGACTCCCAAAAAAAGCAAAATCCCCAACAAGCAGCTCCACGAGGTAAGAGGTTTACGTCATCTTGAGATTGCCGGGTGCATCAACGGTGCGATTTAATGCAGGCCTTGGCACTAAATCTAAAGTCCTCAGTGCTTTATACTGTACTTAAAATCTAATTGAGAATAAACTTATCACTGAATTAATTTTGTGATGTTCTGCATTTTATTTGCTGTGACCTTTTTCCAGTACTGAACATCCCTACTCGTGTTGCTCAATGTGCTCAATGGCAGGAAACCAACTTGTTTGGTGTTAAAAATTAATGAGGCGATGATAATAATTACTCGTATTTCTGTTGTGCTTTTCATCACGAAGGATCCCAGAGTGCTTTACAAGCAGGAGGGGACTCGCATGATTGGCCTCCCTGTGCAGCCCCACCTGGGTGAGGGCAGGCAGTCATTCTGCACTGGAGGCCGGGGGCGGACAGAGAAACTACGGAGCGGATCAGGTGGAGGAGTGAGAAACCGCGCAGCATCAAACAAACATCTTCAGCAACCGAATTAAGGGGCAACTCCACGGGAGACCAGACTGTTCGAGTCCTGAGTGTAATTTAGCCAGGACTCCCCTACTGTTACAAGAGGCCATGAAATCTTTAATGGCCAAGAAGTCAGGACTTCGGCTCAACATCTCTGCAGGACAGCACCTGGAGCTGTCGAGATTTCATACAAACATAATTGGTGCATATGCATTCTCCTTTGTTGTCTGTCAGAAAGCAGTACTGCAGGAGTCAGGGAATTGCAGACTGAAGGTAGAAGTCAATTATCATTTCAATGGTTCTGCTCGCTCCACTGCGACATCAGACAACATGAAATCTGTGCCTGGCAAGGTCTCCGTCTCACGAATTGTAGCACTTTTAAAAATTAGATTACATCCAGGAAGAGCAGACATGAAATCATATTTGTTTCCTTGTATAAACCATTTTTTTAAAAATAAACCCTGCATTGCAGTAACCAAAGCATTTGCAGGTTTTGGATGCTGTTTCATTCAAAGAAGAAAATGTATATTTCTTCAAAGTAATATATAACAGTTTTACTGGGTGAGCTCAGTGCATCACTCATTGTTAGCCAGGAGCCTGCCTCCGGTCCCAGTGAGATCTTGGTCCCCAGTGGCTTTGTCCCTGGTGTTTCCTCTCTGCTGTCCTGGTCTCAGTGTGTCCCTGACTCTGCTGTTTACTCTTTGGTAAGGCAAGCTATTCCAGCTCAATAGTTGAGGAGATTTTCTTATTATAAAAAGCTTAACATTTCCCTTTCCTTTGAGTATTATTTATTAAGATAGAACAATTAAAATAATTAAACAGCAATTCTGCCATGTATTTAAAAAAAACAAGCTTGAAAGGAACGTTTCCTTTATTCTTTTGAATTCCAGTCTTATCCCCTGCGATACGAATGCTTTAATCTATATTCCTGCTCCACACAGCCTGCAGGCAGCATGAGCAGGAGGGCGAGAGAGGCTGCACAGCTGGACGAGCTCGCCAGCTTTTACCGACACACAAGACTAACTATTGTTTCACTTGCACATCAATTATGTGGCAGACTCGCGCGGGCTGGAGTATTCTCACTGCACCATTTTAGAGAAAGAGAAGGAAGTCTGACAGTATCAGGGAAGCAACAAAAACGAGAGATCCTGAAAGATATTCTTCCTTCTTCTCACACCTGAAGAAGGCTCCACGGCCGAAACGTTGTGTTTTCTTTCTTCTTTTTTTCAGCATGGAATAAACCTATTACTTCTTCCTTCTTGCTCAGCTTCTATGCAAAATGCTTCGCAGCTTTCTCGCAAAAACGCTTTGCAATTATAACTTCATGTCAAAAGCACTTGAGTGAAACAGTGTCTATGCAGCAGTTACAAGAAAAATGGATGAGTGTCATTTCCCATTGTCTTGTCTTCTCAAACAGTAATAAAGCTGTTAATTTAGCATGGCAGGATATATTTTATGAATATTCCCCCACCCTTTGTGAGACAATCAGATTCTGGTGACCACTATCCATGAAGTGCTTCTGGATAAATAAATTGATCTGAGTTGTTCCCTGTACCACTGACGGTTTCGGTGCAGTTAAAGCTACTGTGACAGCACTGACAGGACAAGAGGCCACAAGGCCAGGGTTCACTGTGCCAGAGGAAGACAGCAGTGCTCAGTACTCGCAGTGACAGACAGACTCGGCCCCATCTCTCTATCATTAACCTTCTAACCTCAGCTGCTCCCTTTATTTTGTTACAAATGCATCAAAAGCATTGTGCTGGAAGACAGCACAGTGCTGTACAGTAGTTTAGATCAGAACTGCTCGCAGATGTCTCAACAGAAGCTTTCAGAACGGGGCTACAAAGAAGTATTATACCAAACAAACACCACTCTGATGTCTATTTTAGTTTATTTTCACGTTCTTCCAGCATAAGGAGATATCCAGACCTACAGTAACTGGTGTGGACCTCATCCTTCTGTCCACTGTGATCTATATCGAAATAGGCTTTACTTTAAAAAAGTCCTACAGTACCTCAATTGCAATTTCACACCTTATGTCATGACCATCAAAACCTAAACATATTTTGTAAATCCATGCTGACTTCTGCAGTGGAGAAATGGAACAAGTCCTTGCCCCCGGGAGATAAAGTGCTTGATATAAAAGGCAAGCCCAAACAATAAGTACACAGCACCTACTTCACAGCAGAGCTGCTGGTCTGAAAGGGTGTAACTATCAACAGTGCCTGCTTGATTTCTTCAGGCGTCCCCGTGCAGACTGCATGATTATATGTTCTTCGGCCTGAAGTTAAACAACTTCATTGTCTTCATCCTGAATGTGCCGAGACTCTAGACAGGGAAGCAGTGGCCAAAAGGTGCAGAGAGAATCACTCACAAGACACTACCCTGTTTACTACTCATTACTCATGCAACACTCTCCCATAAGCTGTATTCAGTGCTGACAAATTCCACGGAAGGCTGCGTCTGACTGTTTGCCTCCAGGCACCTTAAGAGAACACAAAAATACCTCCATCAACAAACCAGGGGGCTGCCCCCCGGCGACCAGGACGAGCGCACCCTGAACAAACCTGCTTGCGCGGTTATCTCCCCGCAGCTCCGCCTCTTCGCTTTGATTGCTTGAATTCCACATGAGCGATTGTTTGATGCAGTCACTTGCGCCAGGGTTACATGCTGTTTACATTCTGCGTGTCTATCCCCAGCACAGGAGCAACAGGAACTCCAGCACAGAGTAAGAAGACCCTGAAGTTTGGAGTTCGGCGTGAGGGGTAAAGCAGTATTTCAATGCCTTCGCTCACCCACAGTATCTAGAGCGTGCGCGTTGTCCATCACTTAAATTGCCATAACCATTGAAGGCTGGGGATAGATAAATCCACATGGTGCTATAAATGCACTACAGTCATTTAAAAAGCAATCTGTATTATCAGTACAATTCTTCTAAGGCTCAGCACTGAGAAGCCTACAGCTAAAGGCCTAATTACTGGGCGTTTCTGCAGTGTAACTACTGTGTTACCCAACCCGGGATTTAATAGAAGTTTACCTTTCACAGACGGCCATTAGTAGTTTGGTGTGTCTGTGCACCAGTAAGTTTTTTTTTTTCCTCACATCAAATATTTACTGAATACAAGCTTCCCAGCAGCAAATAAAAGAAAAGTCTGTGGTTGAGATATTACTAATTAAAATATCTCCTAGTAATGAGAGCTCCAGTACTTGGAAAGGAAACAGCCATTCTAAAACAGAGGGGTTGATGCAGAGAGCACTAGTGTTCAACTGTAGGGTATTAAAACAGTTCATGACTCCCAACGAACAGTGCTCCCCTGCCCTAACAAGAATTCAGCAGCAAAGAAATGCCGTGTGCCAGCAGGAAAGCCCCAGACCTCTTCTTGACATACTGTATGACAAAAGCCACAAGGTTATTTAATCATATGTTTTCTAACCATATGTTAACTTATTGAACTATTGCATATGATGCACGGTTTTCTATTTTATTTTAACGTCTAATGAAAATCGAATTCTCCATTTTCACCCTGTCAAGTCGTCGCTTGTCCCAAACAAAAAACATATCTCTGTATCCAGCTAGAATCACTATGTGGAAGGAGAGTGCCCAGCCATGATGTTGAAGCCCATACCCCGGCTTCATTCAAACAACTGCTGGATGACGACCTCCACTGCTTCACACAAAGGGTGGTAGGGGTGTGGAACAAACTGCGCAGCCATGCTGTTAAAGCTGATACCCTAAGCTTCTTTCAAGAAACCGCTGGGTGAGACCTGCAGCTTAATCAGCTACTCACTACCAAACAGGCTAGATGGGCAGTTCCTATGTGCCTTACACACATCAAAGGTCTTTGAAAAGTCAGCAGTCATATCAATGATGACAGATAAACTGTACCAATCTTCCAAATCTTTCACACATTTATTAAAACTGATTTTCTCTGATATATGTTTTTTCAAATGTTCATTTACTGCAAGAGTGATACTTTCACTCATGAATCTCACAATCCTGCCACAAACTGCAAGCAAGACCAGTGGCCTGATCAATTCTGCAGAGTCTGCCTGATCTGTTAGATAACACCTCACGAGCAACCAGGAAGACTGCTCACATCAGTGTCTCATTAATGCAACCATCAGCTTAGCTCATCATTTAACACATTCAATAAAAAATACTAGATTGAAAGCTGTCTATGGGTAAAGGCACAGCAGGAAATAAATAAATAAAAATTAATCAAGTAATGAAAAAAGGAAAGATACACCATGTAAAAAGTAACTTTCCTAGTATAAACAGGCACATGCTTAGCACTAACATCGGCAGGCTCGTGCTGAACATGCGCATTGTGTTGTGTTGAAATAAGTGGAGAAAATAGAAGTGCTTTCTTCTTAAACCTGAGATCGGATGAGTTTTAAAGCCATTATATCCACAATTACTGGCTGAACTGTTCCGAAATAAATGCCCTTCTTCAAAAGCAGACATCCAGCCCTCCTTGTCATGACAGGAGGCTGAATTAAATCACAGCCTGTGGCTACACAAGGGCTATTCTTAGCTGTGCCTGCTGAGGAACCAGCATTGTAAGGCACCCCTGTCCAGGGCATTGCAAAAGACTGAAACCGATTTGAGACAAGCATGCACAACAGCAAACAGCACATCCCCTTACTTAGGCAAAGCACAGTCTCCTTGAGTTCAATGCAATTCTATGCATTTTTCATTGATATAAAATGACCTGAGCAGAGCTTTGTCAGAAGACACTTGTCAGTTATGAGTCTTCTGCGTGGTATGTGGTTCTTGACTCAGTCCAGTATTCAGGATTTTAAACAGATGCCGAAATATAATGGAGTACAACAGACTGAAAAGATGCAGAGGTAAACAATACATGCATTGCGCCTTATGGGACATTAAGTGAAGAATAAGAGGCTGATTTCCTAGGAAAATGCAGCAGGAACTGAGAGTCTGAAAAAAGAGAAGAATACAGATGTGGGCTGCGAGCTCTTCAAGGACCACTGGAAGATTACCGCACTGGTCTACCAGAGCCGTTTTCATCTCCAGTACATTAGCAACGCTCCACTGTTACCTCTTCTTGCCTTTCTGATACAGACACTGAGATGAGCTCCATCTTCCACAGAATGAGGGATACAGACTAAAAGCCTTTGTCTGGCACCAGCTAACATTCAGTACGATTGTCTCCCTTGAAATGTCATTACTGTCATCTGGGAGATGTCAGATAGCATGTAATAGTCTAGGGCAATCTAAGCAATACTTTGCTTGAACGGTAATCACTTACTGTATGTTGCTCCAGAAATACAGGGAAATGCTGTTAATTATTATCATAGTGTTAGTTTTAGCAACGCTTATAATTTTGTAAGTAAAATTTTACACCATTAACCTACATCCTCTAATCCTTTGGCAAGAAACTAATAAAGGATGCTAAGACCCAGCAAGAACCAGTAAAGCGATCGCAAAAGATTCTGCAGAAAATTTGTGTCTTAGTAACTGGTAACATAAGCTCTTTGCCATGTCCTTCTGATGCCCAGATCATCCATAAACAAAGGATGTTTCCACCCAAAACCAAAGTCATTCCAAATTAACCGCACTCAGAGGGTCATTAGGTTACTGACAAAATGCACATTGCAACAACGTCTTGCTTAGATTAATACTCACAGGCAGTACGCACAGAAAGGCAATCAGAACTGATTGTCAAGCAGCTTGATTGTTTGCTTTGATTCTAAAAGGCATCCTGTACTCAACACGCTTTGTATTCTGGGACACGGGGAAGTGAATAGAAATATTAACCCAATACAACACGCAGAAAGGATCCTTCTGAAACACAGCTGTCATTCTCTGTGTACACTGTAATAAAACAGAAGACTGTCAAGACAAGGGAACATCAGTTCTGAGTCAACTCCTGCAGGCAGGCTGTTCCCCTGACACGGGGAGGCAAAGGCCCTTCCTTGATAAATTAAACACGCCTCACTTGTAAAAGAAATTGCTGCTGAATACAAAACAATTTCACGGATGACATTTATTTTTTTTTCTCCTCCCGCAGCCTTTCGGAACGGGACCTGCTCGCCCGCCCACCAGCGGAGCCGCGCTTCTCGGAATCAGGGCGACCGGCCCGGGGAGCGGACGGCACCCCGACACTGCAGGAGCGCGCCCTCGTCTGCAAGGTGACTGCACGCCTCTCCTGATCCGCAGCCTCGCCACGCACAGCACGTTAGGGGCCTCCCCGGCTCCCCGAGACACCTCGGCTACCACCGGCATGCAGACCGCAATCAATTCTCTCTCTGCCAGGGCCGCCAGCTCCGGGGGGATTCCAGACACAGAGATCTTGGGAAGTTAAAGTAAAGTGACGGCCGTTAAATCTGCAGCATTCTTCTGTCACCACACACGTTTGTGCACCGATATATGACAGCATTTAAAGGTGGAGAAAAAGCGCTCTGAACGCCAGACTACTGCGGAGAACACCTAGCATCGCTTCACCATGACAACCACTAGACACTGGGCCCACCCCGGCCAGCAGGCTGCGGAGGGCTCCCCTGGACGGGCACCACAGCAGCGCAGGCTTACCCGTCTCCTTGCCCGGCGTGCCCTGGCCCTCGTCCAGCCGCAGGTCACTCAGAAGGTGCTCCAGGATCTTCTCCGGGGTGCCCGACACCACCACGTACCTGTCGGACACAACAGAGGAGTCGGTGGAGTCTTCCTCGGCGGAGGAGAAGGAGCGGCTGCTGCTCCACTCTTCCTCCTCTGTCTCCTCCTCCTCCGCCTCCTCTCCCTCCTCGTCGATGTATCGGAAGTAAGGCACGTCAAAGGTGGGCCGGGCTGCCCCCCTGATGCTGCTGTCCTCCGACCCCTCCTCGTCCTCCTCGTCCTCTTCCTCTTCCACCAGGGCGGCCGGCACCAGCCCGCCGTCGGGGCACAGGTCCAGCGCGCGGAGCCGGGCGCTGCCCATGTCCAGTGCGTCCGCCCGCTGCCTGAGCTGCTGCAGGCTACAGGACAGCCTCTGCAGTGGCCTCTGCTCCAGCCCTCTGCGAGCTGACACACTCCATCCGCGCGCGCCGAGCGCTGCAGTCAGCGGGTGTGTGTGTGCAGGAGAGAGAGAGAGAGGCTTACCTCCTGTCCTTCTCCTCCTCCCTCCCGCCCCCTGCTGATGCCAGGGGGGCCGGCCTCTCTGACGACGCCCTCTGAAGCACCAGGACATCCTGGCCTCTCTCCTTCAGGCACACGCGGCTCGTCTCCTCGCTCGGCGGCTGAGGAGAGGGAGGGAGAGATCGCTGGTGGGAAAGGAGACCCAGGAGAGGGTGCTTTTTTTTCCTATTCCCCATTAAGCAAAACACACGATTTCGAAATGCATATATAAAATGACCTGAGCAGAGCTTTGTCAGAAGA